TGTATCAGAATGAATTAGAACTAATTTAAACAATTTAGTACTGTCCAGAACCATTTAGATTGCTTCAGGATGAATGAGGATGGTCGAGAATCACTTAGAACTGTCTACAATAATTTAAAATTGTAATAATTTATAGTTGTTTAAATAATTAAAAAATGTGTAAAACTATCTTGAGCAACTTAGTACTGTCCAGAATCATTTAAATTGCTCCAGGGAGAATTAAAATCGTCAAGAACCATTTAGGACTACCTAGAATGTTTTAGATCGCTTCAGGAACTGTCCAGAATGATTTGGAACAGTCTATATCGATTTAGAACTGTCCAGAATCATTTCGCACGGTGTTTTAAATGTTTTAGCGGTTTAGAAGTAATTTCCTGCCATTTAGAAGTACCTATTATAAAAAAAAACTTATGTAATTTTTCCGGACCATTGAAATATATAATTAACGGTGCAGCTGAATGCAGACAGGCTTGCAATCATAGTGGGCGCGCTATTGTTAAATTGTTGTAAATTAGCTTAATTAACGTTCGACTCCATTCAAATTCGAATTAATCAAGTCCAATATGATATGGAACTCATATCAATGCCTACGGCACTAATTGATACCGCAACAATCAAACGCATTGTGTTATACAGGGTGATGCAAAAAGATGAAAATAAGATGATTTAATTATTTATCTGCAGGGTAATAATTAATTGATTACCGATACTTCGGGATGGGAATATTTGGATGATTTTAAGAAGAAAAGTTTGTATCAATATATGTCCTAAACCTCTTAGTTTTTGAGCTACAGGGTGTTACAGTTTTAGAAAAAATTAATTAATTACCTTTTCTATCATAATTTTCTTATTACTCCAGATATTTTTTATGAAATTTAGTACGCACTTATTAATTATTAAAGAGCATTTTTTTAAGCAAAAGATATATTTTACCAGTGCCGTCAGTACGGGGTTTGAACTGAATATGTTTGAAGAAAAAATGGTGCGCCACTGCTTTTTCTAAACACCAAAAATATTTTTAAAATTCTCATTTATTTTGGAGCAAATTCGGTCCGAAGACATACTTTCTTACCACGCTCAATTTTCGCGTAAAAAAAATAAAAACCAAAACAATTTTTTCCATGCATGGAAACACTTTTTTTGGGGACAAAAATTAATTTTCTACTATTACCAGTGACGTCCACGTCCGAAATTTCTTAAAAATATCTGGAGTAATGAGAAAATGATAGAAAAGGATTTTTTTTCTAAAACTGTAACACCCTGTAGCTCGAAAACTAAGAGGTTTAGGACACAAATTGATATAAACTTCTCTTCTTAATTTCATCCTAAAGTATCGGAACTTAATTAATTAACACCCTGTATATATTTAAAAATGTTTAGTAAAGAAGTTACAAGGTGTTAAAGTTAAAAATAAAAAAAGAGTTTTTTTTATATTGTGCCAGAATGACAACTCTTTTCTTTGAAAATTTGTGTAGAAAATCTTTGTTTGGTCGAATATTTTTATGATTTTTTTTCCATCCGTCTCAGATTTATAACGGGGGGTCCAACCCCCTTAAAGTCCGTGTTATTTGCCCATGTTATTTACCTAATTTTTGAATCGAAATTAGATTTCTCCGTTTATTTATAACGATTTTTTACTTGTAATTTTCTATAAAACCTACATTTTTGGAGATAAATCTCATTTTTTGGTATTTTTACGATTTTTAAATCACCCTCATATTTAATTTTTAACCCGTAATTGGTAATAAAATTATTTCACTTGTAGAAAATGTTAAAAATTAGATTTCAATAATTTACAAACACTGTTTAATATGGCCTTCATTACGGTAAATTGGTTTTTATTAAAAATTACTTAATCTGTTAAAAATGTTCTAAAAATATGAAACAAAATTATTATTAATACCGGGCTAAAAACTTTCCAAACTATAGAGATTTATAAACCGTATAAATGGCAAAAATAGAGATTTTTCCAAAAATATGAAGTTTATAGAAAATTACATAAGTAAAAAATCATTATAAAGAAACCGATAAATCAAGTTTGGATTCAAAAATTATGAAAATGACATGGGTGGAAGAATTAGGGCATTAAGGGAGTTAAACCCTCCCTTCGTTAAATCTGAGATTGATTGATATTTTTTTAAATTTTGTCACACATTAATAAGTTACTAAACAAAGATATTCAGTACAAATTCTCATGCAAAAGACTTCAGCCATTCTGACCCAATAATATTAAAAAATCTATTATCTTCACTTTAACACCTTGTAACTTCTTAACAATCACATTTGGTTACAGGTAAGTTAGTTTAAATCATTTTATTTTCAATTACTTATTTAAAGTAATTGTTCATTATGTAGATGAGTTCGAGTAAATTAAATATTCACTTCCGATGATGATAAAATTTACTAAATAAAATCGAAAATTTTGTATCAAACGGAATATTTGAATGTAGGTAAATCGAGCACTGGGTATCGATTCCTATTTCTACGAGTTACTGAAGTGTATGCAACCCATATTACACTTCATAAAATATTTTTTGATCGAGCACTGCGGTACTACCGGGGAAGTACGCGAAGAAATAGCGTGCTGTAATTGTTAACTAAAATCCAATAATTACAATAAATGAAAAAAAAACGTTGTTTAAAAACTCTTTAGTTATTTAGCGTTTACGTAACATCAACATAACCTATTCGAAATTGATTTTTCGATGTCGGAGGTAACTAAGAAGGTTTTAGACAAATTTATGTAACTTATATGCGGTTAAATGCGTTAAATTGTTAGTACATGGCGAATTTATTCTGAAAATAGCAATTTGGAAGCAAGCCAAAGAGAATTTATTTAAAATCTGTAGACGCAAAAGCCGGTTTAAATTTTTATTAAAAAAAAACAATAAGAATAATGAATTTAGCTCACTTGTACTGAGAATAGCAGATTGATCCATACCACAAGGCGAACATTTCGGTAAACTGCACTTTTCCTTTAGAAAATATCCAAAAATTGCAACTTCCTCTTAACAGGTACAATGTAGTTAAATAATTAAATGTCTTATGTATCTTTTAGGTTGTTCGGACACGTGCGTTGAACTTCCTGTAAATAGGAATTTAGAAAAATACTTCTGCCGTTTCTAAATAGTGTTTTAGAGAAAATTAGTGCAAATTCGAAAAAAAAAAGAACGTGTTGCACAACTTCTAGTTTAAAAATATCCCAGCAAATGCGGGTCCCATGCGTTGTATATCGATATAAGTGCGCCAATACAATAAACGTACCCTTTTGCAAGAAAATACCCTTTGAAACAATCACAGCGAAGATTTGCAGTTTCACTATCGCTCGAGCAAAAGATACAACGCAAGTAATGCGGAGTGTCACCCTCGAAACGTAAGATTTTTACTCACCCTGTCGAAGTCTAACAGGAAAATTCTCGTTAACACGTTTAATTAGCAACGCCGATTTAATTTAAATTAACAAACATTTAAGGACATACAAAAATAGGTCAACACAACGTAAAGTCTCTATTTTGGAACTTTTTGAATTCGATGGTTTTCGCATTGTCAGAGGGCTGTATTGAGCGCGAATTGTGGAAGGTATGCAACACTTTTTACTCGGTGAAAATGCTCAAAAATTTTTAACCGCGTGAAGGGGATTTTTTTGACCGAGAAAATACATTATTTTTTTCCAGAATTCAACGCATTATGGTTAATTCTACGAGTTGAATAAACATTATAACAGTGCTTACTACGGGAAAAAGTACAATCCAACAATGAAGCTCAATATCATAACTCTCCAGAATCATTAGATTGCGTCACGACGATTCAGAATTGTTGAGAACAATTTGGAACTGCCCAGAATCATTTAGATTACTATCTTGAATAATTTACCAACTGTATAGAATGTTTTAGAAGTCTTTTGAATGAATTGAAACTGTCGATAGAACTACTTAGAACTGTCCAGAATCATTTAGATTACTTCAAAAGACGAATCAAAATTGTCGAAAACCATTTAGAATTGTCTAGAATAATTTAGAATTGTTTCAAATGATTTGGAACTGTCTAGAATGATTTAGAACTGTCCAAACATAATTTAGAACTGTCCAACATATGATGTAGAAATGTCCAGAATCAATTAGATTGCTTCAGATAGAATCAGAATATTATCGAGATCCAAGAACTGTCTGGAATAATAAACTGTTTAGAATTATTCTTAACGAATTGTCTGGAACAATTTAGAACTGCCCAGAATCATTAGATCGCTTCAGGACGAATTAGAATTGTCAAGAAGTATTTATTAGAACTGTCTGCAATGATTGGGAACTGTCCAGAATCATTTAAAAGTTTCAGAATGATTTGGCACTGTCCAGAACCATTTAGCTTGCTTCAGGACAAATTAGAATTGTCAAGAACCATTTAGAACCGTCTACAATGATTGAGAACTGTCCAGAATCATTTAGGTTGTATCAGAACGAATTCGAACTAACTTAAGAAATTTAGTACTGTCCAGAACCATTTTGATCGCTTCAGGACGAATTAGAATTGTCGAGGACCATTTAGACCTCTCTACAATGACTGAGAACTGTCCAGAATGATTAATAGAACTGTCCAGAATCATTTAAAATTATCCACAATCATTTGGTTTGTATAACAACGAATTAGAACTAACTTAAGCAATTTAGTACCTACTGTCCAGAACCATTTAGATCGCTTCAGGATGAATGAGGATGGTCGAGAACCATTTAGAACTGTCTACAATGATTTAAAACTGTCCAGAATGGTTTGGTCGTTTCAGATCGAATTAAAACTATCTTGAGCAACTTAGTACTGTCCGGAATCATTTAGATTGCTCCAGGGAGAATTAACCATTTAGAACTGTCTAGAATGATTTAGATCGCTTCAGGAACTGTTCAAAACGAGTCAGAATTGTCGAGAACCATTTAAAACTCTCTAGGTTCGAGTATTTTAATTGCATATTAGAAATTCGAAAAGCTGAACTATCGGGATGATCATAAAACATAGAAGGTTTTTGCCAAGGAAAAAGTAAAAAAAAAACAATTCAAATAGATTGCTAAACATTTTTATTTGTTTCGTGATTATAGAGTAAGTTTTATTAATTCGATAAAATAAAAAAGAAAATAACAGTATTGCACATTTGTAAGTGAATACAGGCCGTTTCTTAAAACATAATTCAATAAAAATTAACAGAACAAACGTTTCATAAAAAAATAAGCAATCACCCTGTTAGAAAAAAAAATCCAAATAAACAAAGTGAAAGCTCGCAAGCGACATAAATGCGTTACAATTGTAAGTAATTTCTAAAACAGCTCGAGAAGTTGAAATATTTATTTTAATTTTATTTATTTATTGAAAAACCTAAATCAACGAGCTATTAGAGATGGAATTAGAAGTGTATAATTAATTCTATTAGAAGATTAGCAACTTTCGTTATCTTTTACATTAGAAAACCTGAAGAAAATTACCTATTTACTAAAAATTTGTGATGAGCTTTGAATAGAAAATGGACGTTATTGTAAATATGGGTAAGAGCAAATGTGTTTGCAATATAGTCAATTCTATGAGTTGAACAAAGAAATATTATTAAAGGAACAGTGGTTAGAGTGAGAAAGCTGCAACGCCACAATATCACTTTTTCTTTTTCCTTTATATGAGACTAGTGAAATCTATCTTTGTTGCACCCATATTGCAAACAATTTTGAATCTACCTGTATTACACATAAATGCAAAATTGTTTGGAATATAGTCAAATCTGTAAGTTGAACAAAGAAAGGTTATTAAAGGAACAGTGGTTAGAGTGATTAAGCTGCAATGCCACAATATCACTCTTTCTTTTTCCTTTATATGAGACCAATGGAATCTGTCTTTGTTGCACCTATAGCTTATGTTGCAGACACATTTGCATCTACCTGTATATGTATAATATTTTATTCCACCAACAAACTATTTCTACTTCTAAAAATATCATACGACATCTAACAAAGAAATTATAAAATAACACAAATTTATTACAACGTTAGAGCCGAAATACTAGTACAATTTTTCCGATATTTCTAATATTGGAAATGTTGATACAAAAACAACATGCGCAATTTAGCAATAAACTATTTTTTAAACTAGTGTTAATTTTGAAGTAATCTAAATTTATTTGCAATTCAAGGCCGTTTTGAAGTATCTAATTATCTCAGGAACCTCTTAAATATAATGGTATAAACGCCCCTAACTTATTAACTAGGTTAATAATTATGGTAAATTACTTAAATATAATTTAGCGTTTACCTTAAGGTTATCAATCAAAAATAAAGCAAATTAAGTAAAACTTATTCGCGTCGATAAAGAAAATATAATACTGAAAACTAAAGATGCGGGGCCTAAAAAATACAAAAAAAAATATTTAAAAACCTAAACATTGCTTCTCTAAACAAAATCTACAGTTACTAATACTGTATCATGTAAAAAGTTGCTACTGGTAATAAATTCAACAAACAAATAATAACAAAAATTTATAAATATGGAGCAACTTTTTAAATAATTTATAGAAAAGCGCTATGTAAACAAGTACTTAAGTAGCAACTGGAATTTCGTTCAACTAAAACAAACATTTGTAAAGAATTTTCTTAAAGCTAGAAAAATCGGATTTCTGTATTATTTATTATAGGTTCGAACCGGCATTTTGTTATCACACCAGGAAGTTTTGATTAGGCTGTTAAAGCTTCAGTAAAAAAATTATTTGCTTTTGCTTTCTAAAAGTACGATTAATATTTTTAAAGACTAGTTTGAAAAGAACGAGCGTTACAAACATCCGATTTTTAATAGTACAAACTAATACAATTATGAAAAGAAACATTTTTCGATAGTATTTAGAATAGGGGGGTACCCTGTCAAAATAACCCAAAGACAAAATAGCTTAGGAGAAATAAGGTCTACCCTACGGCATCTGGTTTAGTATGCGGTCTACCGAAATTTATTTTGTACAAAGTATTGAGTACAAAGTATAACAGGAAGATTTTGAAAAGTTCTAGAATTATACCTGGCGAGTTTTTTCTATTTTTAGCATGGGGATCTCGGAAACTGTAGAAAAAATTTTAAGTGAAAAAACATTTACAATTTTGTCAGACATGTTCACAACCGATTTCAGTTTTGCAAAATATGACACCTGTCAAAGTATTAATATACTTAAGCGACGAAATATGTAGGTAGACCACAAATATAATGGTAGACCGCATAGTAGACTGGCACCCACCAAAAAATATATCACAGTACAAGAAATATCACAAATCATGAAGTCGAGCCATTTTTTTAGGACAATCAGTTGTTATTTTATTAGGCATCAGGATTAAAATTAGACGCCTATTTTAACACCTAGGTTCATTTCAGTACGCAATATGGTCATTTCAACAGTTGTCAGAGTGAAAAGTTGCAATGACATAATACACTCTTTCTTTTTCCTTTATAAGTGTCTAATTGAATGTGTCTTTGTTTCACCTATAGCCTATATTGCAATGAAAAATGGAGCAATCTGTATAACCTATATTGTAAACTAAAATGAATCAACTTGTATGTTACATTAAATAAAATGAAATAAGAAATAACAAAGAAGGCATTGATGACAGTATACAAAACATATAGGAGTTATTTAATTTTTTTCAATATATTTTGGAAAAATGCTCGAATGTATAATCTATGATATCTCTATTAACAATGCAACTATTTAGGTATAGAAGTTTATTGTTGCATTAAATAAAATGAAATTATAGTTTACCACACAATAGAAGGGAGTGAAATAATGTCTTAGAAATGTAATAAATAAAGCTTTTAATTTTACCGAAACTGTTTTATCTCAGGCTATTTTGTCTTGGGTGATTTAGACGGATTACGAGATTGGGTATAGCTGGATTCTAAGGCCTCAATGTACCTTTCATAATTGTTCAAAAATAGGCCGGATTATCACAACCTAAGTAAAAATAACAGTGTTAGTGTATTAAAAACCTACTAGCTTGAAACTTCCTGTACTACCTACATTTACATCTCCTAGTCCGAATAGGATTAATTCGCATTTTTCAACACGTATGGAAGAATAAATAGTATATAAATATGTACATTATTACGTTGTAATCTAAGCCTAATTCTGTGTTTTGTACTTACTTTTAAAAAATAAAACAGTTAAAAAAAATAAAGACGGAAACTCGATCACATTCTAACAGTTTTATAAAACATGTAGAAAACAATAGTTAAAAAATAAATACTAAAAAGGAATGGACAAACGTTAAAAAATAAATGCATCTAAATAGTTCTTTCGTAAAATATTTACCGATGGTTCGGCATCCATCGCATCGGTACAAAATCAATTAAACTCAACACAGGATCGTTACTGGTCCTATTTTATCCAGGCTATTGATATGCATCACAGTTCATAAAATACTTAATATAAGTTTAGCGTATGTACAATAAACATTTGCGTAAAATACGAGGTCTTAAAATTAGAGCTTGGTGTGTTTTACTGTGTCCGTCCAGTAATTTTGAATTGTCATGGCTTCTAAACTATTTAGAAATGAATCGTTGTCTAGGCTATACATCTCCTCGGAATTGTCCTGGAAAAAAATATTCACGATGAAATTATAATGGTTCTAATGGTATCTACATGTTGCACTAAAATTCCTCAACAAAATATTATTCCCTTTTGTTTCACCATCTATGTTATTATTTTGTATTTTAATTGGGGTGGGTAACTTTATTAGAGCGTAAAGTTTTAGGTTATGTTCAAATTTTCAAGAGGTCTAATAAAGTTGGGTTTATACGTATTTTGCAACTCTTTACTGATGCTATTAAATTAATAAGAAAGGAACAAAATTACCTTATGGATATTAAATTAATTTCGAGTATAGTAGAATTGTGTAGGTGTAGAATAATGAGAAGAAAGCTTATTTTGTAACAGTGGTTACTACACCTCTATACAAAAAATTATTCCCACCTCTATTAAACTCCTATCATACGAAATGTCATTAATGTCAATTTTAGTAGTTTCTGCGAAAAAATTAATTATTAATTCATCGTAAAATAGGTTAACCAATATGAAACAATATTTGAAAAATAAAGCTTATTTTGTAATTGTCATTTCACCTCCATTCCAATAAAATGATATTTGAAAAGTATGGTTATTTTGTAACAATAGTTACTGCACCTCTATACAATAAATTGATTCCCATCTCTATTAAACTTCTGTCATTTGAATTGTCATTAATGTCAATTTTGTCACTTTTTGCTACATAGAACGCATCATAAATTATTACTTATTCGCGTACAATGCGAACAAAGAATTAGTAAATCAACATAGAGTAGAATGAATAATCAGGAAAACGATAACGATATTTATCGTAGAGTAGAATAAAGTAACCAATAAAATGATATTTAAAAATTACGGTTATTTTGTAACAATAGTTACTGCACCTCTATACAACAAATTAATTCTCACCTCTATTAAACTTCTGTCATTTGAAATGTCATTAATGTCAGTTTTGACAGTTTTTGATACATCGAACGTATCTTAAATTCCTACAGATTCCTACTTATTCCCAACAATGCAAAAAATAATTAGTAATTCAACATAGAGTAGAATGAATAATCAGGAACACGATAACGATATTTACGTTGAGTAAAGTAACAAATAAAATGATATTTGAAATGTCATTAATGTCAATTTTAACAATGTTTGCTTATGTATCACCGAACGCATCTTAAGTCCCACTTAAGTCCCTATTCTTAGGTCTATTCTTAAGAATAGGCTGTGGAATTCCTACGTGGAATTAGTCCAGCATAGAGATAACAAAATTTTTGTTGCGGAATTTTCGTGCGCCCCATCAACAAATTACCACACAATTCGAAGCGTTCGCCTACGAAGCGGCATTCGCCAAATAAACGCACAAAATAAACTCGAAGCGGCATTCCAAAAAACACACAAAACGCTAATGAAGCGGCAAATCAAAAACCTAAGCACATGCTTACTCTTACTGAAGCATCATCGATGTATCCGCTCGAATCCGGATTGCTGCATCTGTCGTTAAGTACTTGAGGCCTGTTAAACCCGCGGTTACGGTACAGGAAATAGCTGATCCCCGACAAAGCGCCGACGACGATCACACAACCTGGTGAAACGAGAACGGTTAGATAAAATTTCCATTGTATCGTGAAAATATTAAAGCTGGAATTCGTACATTCTCGTTTCTGTTGAACTATCTCATTTTATGATGTCTTCTTTTGTACCCTCATTATTTATATTTACTTAGAATGTATAAATCCAGTGCAGAGTGGAGTAGAGTAGAGTTATTCTACCTTACTGTATGGAGCTCCCCTGTGGGGAGGATACGGTTAAGATCAGAATTGAAGCATAGGGTAAAAGAATCCACCAGAAGAATATAGAGGAGTGGATGATGGAAGGAAAACTGGAACTGGTTCCGCATAAAACTGAGGCCAACGTCTTGAAAGGACTCAGATGAAGAAGAAAGAGGAAGGGAGCTAATTTTCAATTCATACACTAAAATATCTATGTATAAATAAATAGAACCTGTACCTAGGGCACATAAAGTATTTCCACAGACTAAAAAGAGGATAAGATAGGAGTAGAGTAGAGTAGGAATAGAGCAGGAGTATAATAGAGAAGGAATAGAATAGAATAGGAGTAAAGTAAGAATAGAAGTGGAATAGATCAGATAGGGGTAGATCAATTAGATTAGGAGTAGAATAGAATATAATAGATGGAATTAGTGGAAAACTCCTGGGCCTTTATTCTTGAATTTCGGGGAGTAGAAATAGTGAGATAAAGATATTGTAAATTCTTTTTAATTGATTAATTAATTAGAGAATAGTGGAAAAATATAACTGGGTTGCAATCCGTGATGACCTAATTGCTCAAACACCTACCGTTCAAATAAATTGTGCAGATTTAAAATATGAAATAATACCTCCAACAGTAGCTATAAACAATTTGTTTTTAATTTGTATATCCTTTTAAAGGGATGTAAGATGAAATAAGGTATTTGCAGCGCACCGGGTATTTCCAAATACTTTACGAAATGAGATATAAAATTGTCCAAAAAATGTTTGGTTATCGAGACCTTTCTCTTTTCTCGCATGTCAATTTTCGGCATTTGTGTTTGGTCAGAATTTTTCACTGAATTATGGCAACCCTGTATACGTTTTCTCTTACTTCTTTCTACTCCCTAGCTTCAAGAATACGGCATTTTAAAATCGAGAGAAATTTTGAAGGAGTAGAAATATCAGGGAGTAAAATTCCCCGGTGAGTAAAATTTTCTCTTGATTCAAGTATAAAGGTCCTACACGGGATTCGTGCTTCATGCAGATAACAAGAGGTGGTAGAAGAGGAATAAACATCCTATGGTGCAAATCAAGAAATTTGCAGGGCACCAAAAGACGAACGGACGAAACAGGAACCAAATCCAAAAGCTCTACCTAATGTAATTCCGGTTATTCCTGCGGCGCTTAGGAGGTAGGAATAGAGCAGGAGTATAATAGAGAAGAAATAAAATAGAATAGGAGTAAAGTAAGAATAGAAGTGGAATAGATCAGATAGGGGTAGATCAATTAGATTAGGAGTAGAATAGAATATAATAGATGGAATTAGTGGAAAACTCCTGGGCCTTTATTCTTGAATTTCGGGGAGTAGAAATAGTGAGAGAAAGATATTGTAAATTCTTTTTAATTGATTAATTAATTAGAGAATAGTGGAAAAATATGACTGGGTTGCAATCCGTGATGACCTAATTGTTGGTAATTTTATGGACTGGACACAAGTTTACTGTTTAACGTTCAAATAAATTGTGCAGATTTGAAATATGAAATAATACAGCATTTTAAAATCGAGAGAAATTTTGAAGGAGTAGAAATATCAGGGAGTAAAATTCCCCGGTGAGTAAAATTTTCTCTCGATTCAAGGATAAAGGCCCTGCGCGCGATTCGCGCTTCATGCAGATAACAAGAGGTAGTAGAAGAGGAATAACCATCCTATGGTGCAAATCAAGAAATTTGCAGGGCACCAAAAGACGAACGGACGAAACAGGAACCAAATCCAAAAGCTCTACCTAGTGTAATTCCGGTGATTCCAGCGGCGCTTAGGTTGCTCTCCGACACCGTCGCGACGTCGCATTCGTCGATTCCGAACCTCTCGGAGTTCTGCACGGAGCTGTGATTGAGAGCGACGTCGGCATCGATGTACGTCAGATTCTCAGTTCGATTTATTGCGGTGAAATTCGCGCCCGCTGGCGCTTGATCGTCGGCAAACGTCTCATTCGCGTTTTTTATCACAGTTTCTTTGACTTTGTCTTTGACGTCTTTATCTCTGTCGTCTTTAGTTTTGTTTTTCGCCGTCGCGTTGGGAAAGAGGAATTCGATTTTGTTCTGTGACGTTTTGTAGTGCTTGGGCGAAGAGGGCGCTCTCGCTTGCAGGGTTACGTTGGGGATGATTGTCGTGGGAACTTCGGGCGGTTTTGATGTCATCGTTGCGTTGAATTTATCGGTGGCGTTGTCGTGCAGAATGGGCGATGATGTTGCATTGGAATGTAAGGGGTTGGAAAGCGATTTGCAGATTGTCACTGAAACAGAAAGATTGCCATTTAATACTTTTTTTTAGGCAATTGCGTTATCAAGTGGCCTTGACGCAAACAAACATCGATAAGATTAGATAGATTAGTTTTGCATAAGTAAAGGATCCGTGTAGATTTAATGAGTCATTAAATTACATTTATTTTTATGTATAGGTTTCGGTTTTTTTTATCCTATTTCTCTACTCTACTCTACTCTACTCTACTCTACTCTACTCTACCTACTCTACCTACTCTACCTACTCTACCTACTCTGCCTACTCTACCTACTCTACCTACTCTACCTACTCTACTTACTCTACCTACTCTACCTACTCTACCTACTCTACCTACTCTACCTACTCTACCTACTCTACCTACTCTACCTACTCTACCTACTCTACCTACTCTACCTACTCTACCTACTCTACCTACTCTACCTACTCTACCTACTCTACCTACTCTACCTACTCTACCTACTCTACCTACTCTACCTACTCTACCTACTCTACCTACTCTACCTACTCTACCTACTCTACCTACTCTACCTACTCTACCTACTATTCTATTTTTGAGTGTGGATTTTCTGTTAAGAAATGAATGGTAAAATACTACCCAAAAGGGGTTATTCTTTTGGAGAGGAATTCCGGTGCATCATCATAATTTAATTGGTCATGATTTGAATTTCAATTAATTGCTATAATTATGATTTTTTACTAATTACTATCTTCATTTTGTGAAACATTAGACGCCAGGGAAACAATTTAGCTGAATCATTTTCTTAATTAGTCAAAGTGCTATCAGAGGAATCCGTATCCAGGATACATAAAGTCAGAAAGCATTAGATAATTAGTACAAAAATAACGTAGGGAAACCTGATAAAAGTTAGATTTCAAGCAGGTTATTAGAAGGTATTGACCATTGTGTAATTGGTAAAAGGATTTTAAGAAGTAATTGCGTTTAATTTGAAAATGGCTTTTACCTTGTACAAAATTCGGCTGAATGCCGCAAAAAATAACGGTTGTAACGAATTATTTTAAAGTGGAGTGTTACATAAAAGACGAATTTTTTGTAACGATATGACGTAAATTAATTGGCCGTATTTGGTAATAAATTCAACCGATAATCATTAAAGAAAATACACTGTTTTGTGTCATAAATATTCGAATTATTGACCTACAATTTTTCCACTAAACAATCATGTTTGTTGGGAAATATTTTATATTATCATCACCACTAAATATTCCCTTTGTTTTATGTAAAAACCAGTTGAACATGATTAATATGAATTATAACAAAAAAATAATACTTGACAATACACTTATGTGTAAGTAATATAAAAAACGGTGAGGTCAAATTTAATTGCAATAGTTTACTTCGTACTTACATAATTGCTTATTACAAATTATAATGGAAAAGTAGGAGATTTTAATAAAATATGTAAGAAAAAATTACCTTTTGAATATTCCAAAAAATCCTTGTTTTTTATAAGGATCATAATTAATATACTGTAGCACCTCATGCTTAATTGCATGCAATAAAGTTAACAATAACCTAGAACAGTTGTAACAAAAATTTTAAATCAATAAAAGATCTTTGCACTTTTAAAATAAATATTTATATTTCGTGGTCGCTAAAAGTGAAAACCTTATAGCAAAATTATGTAAATATTGACAAAACTCATAGGTTATTATTGGCATTCATGTTAGTTTACATGTATTGCTTAAGAGCAATGTGTAGGTACAAAATATTTTTCTATAATTCTATTAGAATTTCCAAGATATTTTGCAAATTATGTAGGTACCACAAATAACGTAGCAATTTTTTGGGACACTTTTTCCAACAATTTTCGAATATTTACTTAACAAATAACATTTTAACCAAACTGGAAACAATTTAATAAATATTTGTGTCGTTATTTTTAAAGTTTCAGGGCCTTTGAAGTAAATAAATGAAAGTACTTACAAGAAATCCAGGATGTAATCCAAAACCAGTGCATCCACCAATAGTGTGTCATGATTTTGATATCTTCATCAACCACATTTAGAAACTAAAACGAGCCAGTGTTACCTAATTGATTGTAAATTTCATTGTAGTACCTGACTACAATGCAAAGTGTTGGGGCAATACCCAATTTTCTCTTTTTTCTTTCCTCAATTCAACGCTCAACGACGAATTGCGATGTACGTCTCCAATCAACCATCGATTGTCATTAATATTAGCCAGAGAACTGGTATATTTATTCTTCAATAATGGTTTTTATTCTAATAAACATACCTGTTCTCGCGTAATCTTATCTCACAAAGCAAGCATTGCAGATTTACCATAACAAAAATTTGTCACTGACAACCGTTTACATGACAGATCACATTTGACAGCAAACAGATGACATTGACGTGATTGACAGCAAACAGATGACAAATTTGACGCGTACAAGCGCAATCTATTTATTTATAAATAACTGATTATTTATTTATAGATCTAACGGTTAAAAAGATAAGATATTAAATTTAGGGAGAGATTAAAAAAAATTCTACAGTGGTGTCGCCATCTAGCGAGTTACTGATGAAGCATAAATAAGTTGTGGCTATAAAGCCGACTCGTAGAAAATAATGAATATAATAGGGTGTTAATAAGATAGTTTTCATGTGTTTAATTCTTGTAGTAAGGTTGCTTCGTTCATAATTTAAGCATTTACATTATCTAATAAACGAAATTTATTACAAACTGATTTTTGAGACACTACCAAATCATCAAATTATCAAAAGAGTTAAACTTAAAAATAACTACATCAAATCATTTTAACGATATTAACTTACTACACGACAATAATAGATTCCTAAATAACAAACTTTTCGCGTATGTTGTAAGTATAGTAAAAATCATTTATCCGATGGGAATTTGTTCAGGCGGGTTTGACAGGAATGAATCACGGGCATTCGCTAGTTTTTTATCCGCTGGCATAACCATTATATTTACTTGGTCGTGGCTGTGTGACGTGTGTCATCAGAAACTGATGATGGCATGGATCATTGACAATTTACTATAACCTATGTACGCAAATCGCCTAACCGAAAATACCAGGTGAGTGAATACGTTAAGCTAATTCTTATCTTATCAAACAAAGCTGTTCACGTTTAATTATCACACTTTCTTGGCGGGTTTTTCAACTTCATTCAGCGAATCGGAGTTCTGTTATAGAAAAGGGTGAATGAAAATTTCGAATTAACGATGGCAATTTGCATCGTTTTACATGATTTTGGAGAAATCACGAGGCGAAAGAGTTTCACAAGAACATCGCACGCTTAACGCTTTATTCGCCACTTTATACAATTAACATGTGTTCCTAGAATAAACAGATAATTCTTCGTGCCTTGTTTACGGGAATATCCTGTTTGTAATTAATTTAAAGAGTGCGGGATAAGGTGCCCGTGTTAATATTTAATCCGTTTAATGAATCTTTAATCGCACACATAATTAATTAGGCGCCTGTTATAGGTAAAGGAGTGAATGAAATTTTCGTAACATCCACGCATACTGGCCGGAAATTATATAAATTCCAATAGTATTATTGCTTAGAGGGTGTTGAATTCATTACCACGCTATATTACATTTATTTTGTTATAAATCTTTAATGAAAAATTCGACGTACTATCGTGGATATTCCACGAATTAGTTCATCCGGTAATAATTATTTTTTTGTATTAATGCTTTAACTGCTTAGAACATACATAATTCTTAAACATTCCCTCTGATTGAATGATGAGATAATTGATGTTTATAAATAATCATCTTGCATTAGAGGCTTGCAAAAGCGCATTTTAGCCTCGCCAAAAACGAAGGAATTATAATTGAAACATTTAATATTCCTTAGGAGTACAATGACATTTTGTATTGGATTTCCTACTGTATTGTTGCAGCATATTAAGCACTCATAAATACGATAGTAGGCGTTTTTCAACAACCGAATTCATATGATTTAATATTAATTGGCTATTAAAAACGTGTAATCGATTTAGATATAGAAATACCTTAAAATGGTAAAATGCATATAACGTTGTAGAACTCTTCAAAATTCTGTAATAATTTTCATATTAACAAGTACCCGGCTGTGAGCAGGTAGATGGTACTTTCCTATATAATAATTTGGTATTATGAACGAAATAAACTCTTATAATACGGACCAGAAAATGTAGAAAGTACCAGCTGGATTTTTAACTTGATTTTACCTGGATTTTTAACTGGATTTTTAACTGGATTTTAAACCCTTATTGGGGATTACAACTTGGGATTTAAAAGTCATCTATTAAATTTCTGGTACTGCTATACCTACTATTTTAATTTGTTTTTATTTATTTTGAGCCCTATATTAATTCGAATTATCGATATGAAATCATCTTACACTTCTCGATTTACTCCGGAAATAAAAGTACATGTTTAAACAAATTACAATCTCCTTGAGACGAGTACAATGAAGATTTCATTGTTGTATTGTAAGGAACCCATTCTAATTCATTTTGATGTAACTATAACATGTGCATCGCAGTTAATAACTATTTTATATTATAATATTTCGTTGTTCCCACATATTTTTAGCTAATTAAGCGGATATCGGTTTTCCGATGTTTCCGCTAACTTTACAATCGGTAATAGTTCAATTTTAACTTAGACTTGACTAGCTGAGATAAGATACTGGGTAATTTTAGTGATTTTGTTATCATTGTTGCATTCGAAAACAGTCTTCTTCGACGTAGGGTAAGTTTCACGAATTCATTTGCAACTCGGTTGTTTTAACTGGGTGAAGTTTTCTAATATAAAATTCTGGTTTATTGAATATTTAATTGGTTATTAAACGGACTTCTTTATATCCCATTCTGCTTTGCAAAAATACAATCGTCTACAGATGGAATTGTGCATTTGAGTTTGTTTCATTATTTTTTTTTGTGGGGCTTTAACATTTCTAGCAGATGGTCCACATGCTTTTTAATTAAGAAATTCGAATGCATTTATTTGAACGTTCAAACCGCGGAACGTTATTTTCGCTCGAATTTCCCTAGCAGACTGGCTTATTAGCATTTTATGTTTATTTTCACTAATAATTTTGAAACAAATAACGAGTTTTTGTGTTAAATAATAATATCTATATGTACGTATAAAGGATACAAAACGTCAAGTGTGTGTTTCGGGAAATGCGAAAAATTTAAAAAATTATTTAAGAAAATTTAATGTTAGTCTGTGGGTTTTTTTAATAACATGTAAGTATTTTTTTGTAAGTATTTTTTTTTCACACATACAGTGTGTATTGACAAGGAATAATTGTAATTTGCATTTTAGAAATCTCAAGATTTTTTAACAAAATTTAAAAACTTTCTATCTCTAATTCTTGATTTTTAATAGAATATTTTGATAATGTGTTTTGTGATTTAATATTGATTTTTAATCGCTTTTTCTATCTCTAATTCTTGATTTTTAATACAGTATTTAGGTTTTTTTCTTAGTTAGCTAGAATTTTTCAACATTTTTCCCTATCTCTAATTTTTGATTTTTAATATTGTTTAGGCAATGTTTATTGTTAGTTAACTTTAATATTTAATCGGTTTTTCTTTCTCTAATTCTTTATTTTTGATACAGTATTTAAGTATTGTTTTTTGTTCATTAAATATGCTTTTTCATCACTATTTCTATCTCTAAAAATTTATTTTTAATAGAGTATCTAGAGTAGGTAATGTATTTTTTAGTTAACTATAATTTTTAAACATTTTCTATCTCCAATTATTGATTTTTAATAGTATTTAGGTATTGTTTATTATTAGTTAACTAGGATTTTTATTTAATTATTCTATCTCTAGTAATTATTTTTAATGGATTATTTAGGTAATGTTTTTTGTTAGTTAACTGCGCTTTTTCATCACTTAATTTTTCTATCTCTAATAATTATTTTTAATGGAGTATTAAGGTAATGTTTTTTTGTTAGTTAACTATGATTTTTAAACATTTCTATCTCCGATTATTTATTTTTTATAGAACATTTAGATGATGTTATTAGATTACTTAACTAGCATTTTTAATCACTTTTCTATCTCTAATTATTGATTTTTAATAGAGCTCGTTTTTTAAATAAGATTTTTAACACTCTATCTCTACAATTCTTAATTTTTTATAGAATATTCAGATAACATCTATATTAGTTAACAATGATTTTCAATCGCTCTTTCTATCTCAAATTCCTGATTTTCGTTCCGATTTCTACGCGCTGCACACATGATTGCCTCGATGGTGCAACTCCGGCGTTAATTTAACAGTTACTCGCGTTAATTAGATAAACAAATCTGTATTAACGATGCATTTCGAACATCTTTTTGCTCTTATAGCGCGCTTTTGCGTAAGCGAAGGTGTACCAATTAGCAATTTCACTTTTCCTATCGTTTTTTTTTTTCTTTTCTGAAATCCACCGTCGCTCATGCGGGCTCGGAATCGTTCATTTTAATTTCGTCGAAAGTTTAGGAAATATCTTTTAATCGGCTGTGTGCAAGTGGCAGAGTGGGTCAGGGACAGTCTCTAATCAATTCGATTCACCTATGTAATTTCTACGAGAGTTTAATTAGTTTCGAATATTTGGCGATTATCGGTTTCCATTTCGATTTCTTTCGTGAACTGTCGACGTGAATATCTTGAAAATCCTTCGGACTGGCCGGTCTGTGAATTGTGAATGGCCTTATCGTAGCGCTGGAGGTCAGGAAGTTAGTCCTACAAATTTACGAATTTTATATCGACAGATTAACGCGTTATTTTAGTATATTAACGATGGTTCTTTTTTTCTATTTCATTGCTTCGATTTTTAGAGCGCTTCAAAATGTATAGGAGGTAATTAAGCGGCCGGTAATTTCATGCGTTTTGCCGGTTAAAAAATGCTTAATGCTCCATAAAGGAATTTATAATATGCAGTATAAAATAATAAAAAACATCGCCTATTCGGGTTCAATTTTCCATGATAAATTGCGACCAGTAATTTAATTAAATTTAACATGCTATAGATACCCTACACTATCCTGCACTACCCTACCCCACTTTACCCTATTTTCAAAGGAGCATGTAAATTTTATATCGAGAATTATTTAGATTTATCAGCGTCCTTTTTGAATATTGAGTTTCTTATCAAGCATTTAGATAATTGTAATTTGAATTAGAAATATTTCATCTACATTAATATTAAGATAGTGGCATTGCAGCCGACCTAAATTATACCCTACACTACCCCACTCTACCCTACATTAAAGGGGCACTTAAATTTTATATCGAGCATTCATTAGATTTGTTATTCTTGCCGAATATTTAGTTTCTTATCCTGCATTTAGATGAATTACATAACTAGAAAATATAATTATAATTAAAAATAAAATACCAATTAATTTTTATTATTATCCAAAATTAATTAGCATCGAATATAGGTATAGTAAAATAATAATTCCCGGTGTGCATGTGCATACATATTTACAATTTAGCTAATAAATCAGCTCATCGCATTGTATTTTAAATAGTAATATTGTTGTACGATTCATTTATTATTCATGTATTTATCAATGGGACTAATTAGCCCGTTTCTAAAATAACAATAGATAACCTTGATAAATTTTTAAAAGCCGTAAATTCACAAATCTATGGCTTATACTTTTCCCGACGATTTACAACTTTTATTATTCGACTGTCATGTAAATCCAATTAAGTCCAATATCATCGAATAACGCTAAAAACATCGAAAATATCCGACTCGCTGAATTTATTGCAAATTCAGTGCTCTTCGAGATTACAGGGACTCTAGTTAAAGCAAAATGTAAGTTTTCGCTTTTCTAGTGCAATTTTATGTAATGCTTTTGATAACCACAACTGCAAATTACATCATAATTAATATATTTCATTCACTTTGAAAACCGCTATGGCGATTACGCAGGTGATAAAAGGTTTTAAAAGGATACGGGAACACATGTTTTATTGGATGTAACATAATCACCGATAAACAATGTACTTTTCATACAAACTATAAGTTTGCTGGCTTTTAATTAAATTATTTATGCTGTACTTCCCTTATCTGGTACAAATATTTGCAACGCGATAATAATTTTCCGAATTGACTTTGAAGTTATTCGAAATTGTTAAAATGTATCGTTTCAATTATAAACTATTGGTCCTTCCGAAATAATTCCAAAAGCAATTTTTTCCACGTTAGCATTTCGCTGAATTATTTTTGAATATATTTCACAGGTATCCAACGAAATGTCGTCACTAAGGTTCTACAGAATCTTCTTATTTTTGTCGACGTAACTGGTGAGTTTTAGTCAAACAATAGCTATAGAATGTTTAATTAACGAATGCGTGTAGTCGAGAATGGTTGAGTACAAGTATATCATTCGGTTGCCGAATGTAATTGAACAAGCATGTACCTGAGGATGCGCTTTTTTGTGTTCTTGCGAGGATGACTCCTGGTGTTCAGTGATTAGTTTTTAGTTTAGTTTTAAGTTTCGAAATGAAGGTGGCGTATAAAAGTTTGCATAGAGGTAAATTTTATATTTAACAGCATTAAATTTTGTTTTGTGGATAATCTAGATTATTTTATAAGCAAGAAAATGTGAATGTTTATCTTAACTGTTCAATATGTAATCGATTATTAGACGAGCTTTGATCGTATTTATTGGATCAATTTTTTCGTAGAGTTATTTGAATTGTGATTTAAATATTGTAGGAGGGTGTGATTTAATTGAAATTTTCTGTTTTATATCATTTTTTCATAGCATTCTCAAATTATGAATAAAATTGTTTTCTTGCCAGGTGGTTTCTGATGGAATTAAACAATAAAATCTTTTAATACCGGCAATATTTATACAGTAATATCCGCAATTTGATAGAGTATTAAGATAAATTCTACGTTGAACTAATACAAAGTTAAATTCGAGCGAAGAATATTCCAATCCATTAAATTTTTCAACTATATTTTTCTTTGCTCGTAATTTGTTCGACTATTTTTTTACACAATGTATCGGAAAACATATTTTTTTACTTGCCATTTGTCGTCACTAATGAGCCATTGTTCGTGTAACCAGCTTGATGAAATTGGTTTTTAATTAAATGCAAGTTATTAAGAGAAAAAAAAAAAGATTATTTTTGTTCCAATGCCGACGTATTTAATTCGATAAAACCTCGCAAACAAGACGTATAATTCGTATGCATTTGAGTTTGAAATGACATCAATTATGCCAAATCCGAAAGTATCGGTTACGTGCGAATAGTCCATTCGCTGAACTTAACGCCGGTTTTGGATTAGAAAAATATTTTAATGCTAATGATATCAGATTCTCTCAGAATTCGGATTTTCGGGCTAATTGCACTAAAGGGGTTGGTTAAATTTGATTAACATTTATATTGGGGTGTTATATCAAATGATCTTTTTCTACAATAAATTCACACAATTCATGTTTTCGATTTTATTCAAAATTGATTTAATCATTTTATATTTTCTCAAGGTAATTGGGCACAAAAGGTATTATACACAAAAGTGCAAATTTATACACAATAAGGTCTATGGGTGCAACTTCTAATAGTCTCATACAAATATAAAAAAAGAAAATGGATTGGACGCTAAGAGTCCCTTGAATATATCCACAAATAACTCTTCATAATTGCTAATTTTTATCTACAGCACATTTTTCATGCACATATTTTCCATTTTACTCTATTTTCCTCTCTTCTACATTACTCTACCCTCTTTTGCTCTACTCTATTCTAAATCTGCTCTCACCTATTCTACCCTACTCTATTCTTAATCTCTATGTTCTGATCTGCTTTCCTCGCCTCTCTTCTGCTCTACTCATATCTCTATGCTCCACTTCTACTTTACTCTATTTTCCTCTTTTCCACACTACTCTATTATCTTCTTCTCAACCCTATTCTAAATCCTCCCTCTTCTGTTCTGCTCTACTCGCCTCTCTTCTACTCTACTCTATTCCAAATCTACTCCTCTCTCTTCTGCTCTCCTATACTCCTCTCTTTTATTCTGTTCTGCTCTACTCTCTTCACTTCTACTTTACTCTATTCTCTTGTCTATCCACCCTACTATATTATAAATCTTCTCTCTTCTGCTCTCCTATACTCCTCTCTTTTGTTCTGTTCTGCTCTACTCTCTTCTCTACGCTCTACTTTCCTCACTTCTACTTTACTGTATTTTCCTTTCTTCTACCCCACTCTATTCTCTTTTGCTCTACACTATTCTAAATCTGCTCTCATCTTTTCTACCTTAACTCCATTCCAAATCTTCTTTCCTTTGCTCTACTCTCTTCTCTACACTCTTCTCACTTCTACTTTGTTCTGCTCTCTTCTACACTACTCTACTGTCCGCTGCTCTACTCTATTTTAAATCTTCTCTCATCTATTCTACCCTACTCTATTCTAAATCTTCTCTCTTCTGCTCTACTCTGCTTTCTTTCCTTCTACTCTCTACTCTACGGTTAAAACTCTTTTAGCTTCCAGGTAATAAATTTATACATTGTTGCGCCCAATTTACCACCGTCCTTCACAAATTCACCGTAAATTCTTAAAAAATGAAGTCCAGCGAATGGACTATACGATCAAAGCGGGCTGCTGCACGGCCTTCGGCCGCCAGTTTATTTTTCGATCGACTCGCTTAATTGATAGTGAGTCATTTAAAGTGTCCTTTGCCACTTTTCATTAACCTTTCCTCGGTTCCACGGCTCCCGACGCGCGTCGCCTTCTGTTCTTCGGGCGAAGCAAAACCGGCGAAACGCTTTTTTATTTAATATCTGCAATTCGGCGGAGGATCCGGCGCGACCTCAGCGATCGCTTGGATTCTGAACCGGTGATGATGAAACGTTCGAGGCGAGAGATGACAAACGGGCCGGGTTCCTCGAAGGTTTCGGGGCCCCGCGGGCGGTAGTCGTCGCGAATTCGAGCGTTCACAATGGATGTTCCTTCTTTATTGTTAGTTTTTCATCCGGATGCCGAATTGGAATTCCCGGCGGATGTGAATTTTCGCCTTTTCCTCGAACTCCCCGACGAGTTGCTGTTGTCAATTTCGCCGGCGAACTCCGCAGTTTAAAAGGGCGTTTTAATCGCTGAAAAGGGGATTAAGTGAGTTCAATGGCGAACTTTGAAAGAAATTGAAAAGTTTTTTGAGATTGTATTAAGAAGCAGTGCAATGAACAAAAAAGTGTACAATAGGGAGTAGGGAAGAGTAGGTACAGAAGGGAATAAGAGAGCAGAAGAGAGTAAAGTAGTGTAGGGAATAAGAAGAGAAAAGAGGAGTGTAGAAGAGAGTAGAGAAAGGTAGCGAACAAGAAGATAGAGTAGGTTTGAGAATAAGAAGATAGTAGGGTAGTTTGGAGGATAAGAATATAGGAATAAGAAGAGAGCAGAGTAGGGTAAAGAATAAAAAGAGAGCAGATGAGAGTAGAGTATGGTAGCGAATAAATATAGAGTGAAATAGAGTAGAGAATAAGAAGAGAGTAGAAGAGCGTTGATAAGAGTACAGTAGGCTAGGGAATAATAATAGGAAAAAAAGAGAGCAGAAAAGAGTAAGGTAGGGAATAAAAGGAGAGTAGAATAGAGTAAAGTAGGGAATTAGAATACTGTAGAAGAATGTTGATAAGAATACAGTGGGGTAGGAAATAATAATAGGAACATAAAGAGAGTAGAACATAGTAGAATAGGTTGGAGAATAAAAATATAGGAATAAGATAGAGCAGAGAAGAGTAGAGTAGGGTGATGAATAAGGAGAGAGTAGAAGAACGTTGATGAGACTAGGGAATAAAAAGTTAGCAGATGAGAGTAGAGTATGGTAGCGAATAAATATAGAGTGAAATAGAGTAGAGAATAAGAAGAGAGTAGAAGAGCGTTGATAAGAGTACAGTAGGCTAGGGAATAATAATAGGAAAAAAAGAGAGCAGAAAAGAGTAAGGTAGGGAATAAAAGGAGAGTAGAATAGAGTAAAGTAGGGAATTAGAAGACAGTAGAAGAATGTTGATAAGAATACAGTGGGGTAGGAAATAATAATAGGAACATAAAGAGAGTAGAACATAGTAGAATAGGTTGGAGAATAAAAATATAGGAATAAGATAGAGCAGAGAAGAGTAGAGTAGGGTGGTGAATAAGGAGAGAGTAGAAGAACGTTGATGAGACTAGGGAATAAAAAGTTAGCAGATGAGAGTAGAGTATGGTAGCGAATAAATATAGAGTGAAATAGAGTAGAGAATAAGAAGAGAGTAGAAGAGCGTTGATAAGAGTACAGTAGGCTAGGGAATAATAATAGGAAAAAAAGAGAGCAGAAAAGAGTAGGGTAGGGAATAAAAAGAGAGTAGAATAGAGTAAAGTAAGGAATTAGAAGAGAGTAGAAGAATGTTGATAACAGTACTGTTGGGTAGGAAATAATAATAGGAACATAAAGAGAGTAGAACATAGTAGAATAGGTTGGAGAATAAAAATATAGGAATAAGATATAGCAGAGAAGAGTAGAGTAGGGTGGTGAATAAGGAGAGAGTAGAAGAACGTTGATGAGAGTAGGGAATAAAAAGTGAGCAGAGGAGAGTAGAGTAGGTTTGAGAATAAGAATATTCTCTGAATATTCTATGAATAAGAAGAGACTAGAAGAGTATTGACTATTGATGAGAGTACAGTAGGGTAGGGAAAAAGAAGAGTAAATAAGAGAGTATATTAGTGCAGGGAATAAGAAGAGAGTAGAGAAAAGTAGGAAGGGGTGAGAAATTCTAATTTATATAATTATTATATTGAAAACAAATTATTCTCACTCGTCAAAAGAATTTATTTGTGGTTATTTTCTGGGACTCTGTGCTCAATTTACCTATAGGATTTAAATATATAATCCCTTTTGCGCCCAAATTACATCCGTTTCAAGGGAATTATCATTTTTTCGAAACACTCGAGAGCAATCTCGGAAATTGCACAATTTATGGAATTTTAAAATGTGGGCAGGGTTTATCATTTTAAGCAATCGCAAGGGCGTTTAATATAGTTTTTTTACTTTCATTTGAAATGAGATCGATTTTAATTTCCTTAAACCGGGAGAATTTTACGTTGCAATTTAAAGCGTGTCATTGCATATTGATTGAAAATCGGCGTATAATAAATTCAAAATAACCGGTAAAACGAACCATTATTTTAGTAAATGCGTTTTTTTAGAATCACTCGAATATTTAATTGCATTGTCGAAGTTTAATATCGCTTAGTTACATATTTGATTTGATATCGGATTTAATTCGATATCCCATTTAATTACAATATAAACAAATATCAGCCAATATAGCAAACCATTAATAATTCTACAGTTAATTACAATACCAAGGCTGATTACACGTTGAGGAAAAAATAAATCTCGTAGGTACTTGTGTTTCTCGCGTTGAAAAAAGTTAACGCAAATCAGTTGACTATATATGCAAGTTAGGAGAGATAGTCACACAATCGATTCCAGTGTTATGTTAATGGAAATTACTATTACTTTGTCCTAGATGAAGAAGGTAAAGTATCCCATTAAAGTTGATCATTTCGTTTTACGTACTGGAATTAATGCACGTTTAATTTTTCGGTAAATAAACATCGCGCAGGGAATTTATTTCCGGTGTTTGGCGGAATATTAACAGGGTTTTAAAATTTCATTTTTAAAGGTTAGAATTCGCCGGCACGCTATTCGCATTATCGCCAGCCCGAGCTACTAATTTTAGTTCTTCCTTGCATAAATTTATTACGAGCGCCGTCTGCTCCTAAGCTAATTATGCAACTAAAAATAGTAAAACGCATTCGACCGTATATTCAAATTGCATTAATAGGGTGTAAGTATTATAAATTTAGATTTTCCTCGAAGCGAATTCGCTAAAAATACTTCACCAAAACGGTCATCTCTTTTGGAAAATCCAGCGCGAGAAGAAATTTTACAGTCGCGAAATCTTGCTTCCATCGAAAACCCTTAGAGGAGGTAATGAAAAAAAAAAGGAGTTTTTAATACACATCACCGAGCAGCGTAGGTAAATTAGGTCAGACCTGTTTGAATTTCCACCGGAGTTTCCTCGAACGCCACTCCAACCGGCGCAATTCCCCGCTAATCGTTCGCAAATCGCAAATTAAACCCGTCGACGATCGCATTCCACGTTCCAACGGTTCGGCTGTTGCAGGTATGGGGATGTCATGGCTGGCCCAAGTGCGATGCGGGCACTTGGTGGTGTTCTTCATAGCGATCACGGTCTTCGTTTACCTCTCGTTGTATCTGAACAACAACCAGCTCCAGACGACCGCGTCGCCGCTCAGAACGTACGAGGTGCGGCTGGTCCAGACGAGCAGCAGCAATTCCAGCCAGCCGGACACGGAGGGGCAATTCCCGCCGGTCGTACCGTCGCATTCCACTGTTAATGCCACTGCTAACAACACAAACCAAGGTCCGGATCTCACCAAAGGTAATGTGGTTTTTCTAATGTTGAAAATCGTCTACCGTTTAGTGCCGATTTTATAGCAATGTGAGTTGAACAAAGTTTGCAGAAACTTGAGTGTTAAGTTAGAGTATTTGCTGTATCTGAGATACAAGTGTCTTAGACGCAGTATCCACGTCTGAAAGAGCTGCAGGTGACTTAAGTAAAACTATGTATTGTATCTTAGACGAAGTATCAACGTCTGAAAGAGCTCTTAAGATATTTAAGTAAGTGTATTTGTTGTATCTGTGATAAATTTATCTCAGACGCAGTATCTGAAGGAGCTTCAAGTGACTTAAGTAAGAGTATTTGCTGTATCTCAGACGGAGTATCCACGTCTGAAAGAGCTCTAAGAGATATAAGTAAGAGTATTTGCTGTATCTCAGACGAAGTATCTACGTCTGAAAGAGCTCTTAAGAGATTTAAGTTAGTCCATTTGTTGTATCTGTGATAAACGTATCTTAGACGCAGTATCTGAAGGAGCTTCGAGTGACTTAAGTAAGAGTATTTGCTGTATCTCAGACGGAGTATCCACGTCTGAAGGAGCTCTTAAGAGATTTAAGTAAGTGTATTTGTTGTATCTGTGATAAATTTATCTCAGACGCAGTATCTGAACGAGCTTCAAGTGACTTAAGTAAGAGTATTTGCTGTATCTTAGACGGAGTATCCACGTCTGAAAGAGCTCTAAGAGATATAAGTAAGAGTATTTGCTGTATCTCAGACGGAGTATCTACGTCTGAAAGAGCTCTTAAGAGATTTAAGTAAGTGTATTTGTTGTATCTGTGATAAATTTATCTCAGACGCAGTATCTGAAGGAGCTTCAAGTGACTTAAGTAAGAGTATTTGCTATATCTCAGACAAAGTATCCACGTCTGAAAGAGCTCTAAGAGATATAAGTAAGAGAATTTGATGTATCTCAAACGCAGTATCTACGTCTGAAAGAGCTCTTAAGAGATTTAAGTAAGTGTATTTGTTGTATCTGTGATAAATTTATCTCAGACGCAGTATCTGAAGGAGCTGCAAGTGACTTAAGTAAGAGTATTTGCTATATCTCAGACAAAGTATCCACGTCTGAAAGAGCTCTAAGAGATATAAGTAAGAGTATTTGCTGTATCTCAGACGCAGTATCTACGTCTGAAAGAGCTCTTAAGAGATTTAAGTAAGTGTATTTGTTGTATCTGTGATAAATTTATCTCAGACGCAGTATCTGAAGGAGCTTCAAGTGACTTAAGTAAGAGTATTTGCTGTATCTTAGACGCATTATCCACGTCTGAAAGAGCTCTAAGAAATTTGTGATATTGTAGAATCTTCGCTGTAACAAGTGTTATTTTAATAATCTTTGATCAACTCATAGAATTGACCATATTACAAACTTTTTATGCACTTATGTATACAGAGTGGTTTTAGAAATCGCACCCCGCCGGGAAAGAGATTATGGAAAATTTTATTAGATTTAGATTTTGTCGATTTTAAACCTCTTTATTTACTAAAGGAAAAACTTTTTTCATATCTTTGGCTGCAGTTTTGGCATCTCCATTGTCGTTTCCACAATCCCTTTCGCTGTGGCCCGCGAGTTCTGGACCACCCTGTATATTGTATCGGTTTTTTGTTCGTAGGGGTGGCTGCGGAGAAGATCTACGAGGCCGGTCACATGCATCACACGTCAGAGATTTGCTCGAACATGGGAAAAGATGTGAAACTGCTGATAGCCATAACGTCAGCGCCGAGTCATGAAAGTGCCAGATTAGCTGTTAGAGAAACGTGGGGTCATTTTGCTATAAGAAAAGACATAGTCATAGCTTTTATGTTAGGAACCATTTCGAATCAGACTGTAAACGATAGGATAGAAAAAGAACAGGAAATATACGGTGATATTATTAGAGGAAAATTTATAGATACATACGACAATCTTACTCTTAAGACCATATCGATGCTCGAATGGGTGAACAAGCGTTGTTCCAAAGCACAATTCGTACTTAAGACAGATGATGATATGTTTATAAACGTGTCGCGATTGCTGGCTTTTATAGCTAAACATAAGCCTGAAGAACGAGTAATTTACGGCCGGTTGGCCAGGAAATGGAAACCGATTAGGAGGAAGCAATCCAAGTACTATATTTCACCGCAACAATACAAACCAACGGTTTTTCCAGATTTCACTACGGGTCCTGCGTATTTGTTTCCAGCTCATATATCCAAGGAGCTTTACGAGAAGTCGTTGAACTACACGTATTTTAAGCTCGAAGACGTTTTTGTTACTGGAATCGTTGCGAACGGATTGAACATCAAACGGGTGCACGTGCCGGAGTTCATTAACAAGCGCATTTCCTTCACTCCTTGTAACATTCAAAAAGAAATTAGCATACATATGGTGAAAAGTTCCGAACAATATGACCTGTGGAAGAAGTTGCACGACGCAGCAAAGTGTAAAAAGTAAATGTGATGTAATTAATCCAATTAAAGACTTGTGATTAGTTTTATAAATCTTTATTATGAACAGTATTTTATTTTAAGTTAAATTATTTTCTATAAATAATTGTATACTCGGGTAGATTAGAAAATAAAATACTTCACATCAGACCCTAATTAAATTAAGGAATTATTTTTGTGTAATTGATTATAATTAAAACAAAATGTAGTATACTCGCTATGTACATAAAAATTTAGAACTCATTTTTTATATTTCAACTAAAAAAAATCAATAAAATATAAAATTAAAATCGATGTAAATAATATATTTGTACAATACACTCTAGATTGAACGTTTTAGATTCTTTTTTTTTTCTTCTAACTTTAATCATCATTTTGTGGAGGAATATAGACGAAGGAATTCACTTCCTGCAACACCAATTCTGAAAAATAAAATCAAGTTTTACATACTCAAAAACAATTCCAAAAAAATACACCGCTTTATGTGTCAAAGATTATAAATGTATTTAATATTTGTCTAAATATATCCCTGATAAGTAAAGCTTACTATTTATTTTTCGTCTTTAATTATTCTAATTGTCAAACAATCGAACCATCTACTTTAATTTTATACGTGAAGTAAAACCTCGTTACCCGTCAAAATAGCCCAAAGACAATTCCGGTAAAATTAAAAGCAAAGCTTTATTCATTACAATTCTATTAGGCTATTTTAAAGAGGTACTGTAACACCTACATCTCAATCCTGTACTTTATACCACTATAGAATTATATTTCGGACTCTCCGATTAGGCCTCACGGTCTACTACGAAACGACAGTTAAATTAATAAGTTCTCGCTCGCTCGGTTTATGTATTTTACATTTCCTTAAAAACGAATCGCCCTGTATTATATTTCAATTTAAATTCAATTATATTTACCTCGTATATCATTTTTTTCTAATTTCCTTAATGAAAAAACACCCTGTACATCAAATTAAATGTCAACGTATCACGTAGTAACGGAAATGACAACTTTGACAGTTCGAAGTTTGTTCATCGCCGCTGTCATTAGTGTAGTTTTTTTTTTAAATAATTCGATCGTTTCTTGGTTTTTGGTAAGTACAAATGATTAATGAACATATATTTTTGAGAATTATTGCAATTTCTTTTATTCTCGTCCATTAAAAACGACGAATTTGTCTAAATAACGAAAAAAAAGCTACAGGGAAAAACGACAATAGTCCATTTTTTCCAAAACTAAGCTCACAGTTTATTTTTATAGCATTTTGTACTATCAGATAGTGAAATCGGTAAATGGAAAAAATTGTTGAAGTCCGCAAAACAACAGCTAAAAGATACCTTTAATTTCACTTTCTAACGAGTAAGTAAACTTATATTTTAATTTTTCTCTAATATATAATAATTATATTCGCATATTCCTAACTTTCATAAAACCAACCCAATTCGTTACTTATTTCGCCATATTCCAAGTCATACAGATTACACCATATACCTATTAACTACTATACCGCTAATAATGGTCTAAAACTTATTTATGGCTTATTTATGCGCATGCTCAAATGAAAGATGCGTTTTGATTTCTGATTGGCTACTTTTGACACAGCAAATGAAACGTCAGAAACGTGCTAGCTTTTATTTTGGTATATTTTTTGATATATTTTTAAAATCGACTTTGACTTGCCTGTGTAAATACGTCATGTTATCGAATTTAACCACGATTTCAAGTATTATTTTCCTTCTTTTCTTTTCTTTTTAGGCCTCAGCTACTCGCTATTGGTCCTTTTAAAATTAACGCGCTTGCGTATAAACGACTAAGCACACCACAGCGGGTCGGATCTCTCTCTTTAATCGCTACGATTTTCTCTCATGGAACGGATAGCGAGTTAGCAGTATATTAGTTAATAGATATATGTACACTGTTGGAAAATTATTCGCGCATAATAGGGAAATCAATGTTAAATTCTTAGCCGGCTGAAATCCAGTCTACCAGTGTACATTTCACTCACCAGTCTACCAGTGTACATTTCACACCGCGCTTTGGCTTGGTTAGATTAAAAATCAAATAATTTCGACGGTTTCGACACTTCGACAGTATCAAAACGGGTTCGGACGGGTGAACGTCGAGTTGATTAAAAAGAAATGAGAATTTTTAAACGATAATTTATTGAAAAAATATCACTAATAATAAAATAGAATTATGTAGATATGTCTTTTTGCCACAATGGCTTGAAAAAGAAAGTAAATTCTAAGAAAATAATAAAAAGAAAACTCCAAAAATAAACTTAAAGATTATTTTAAAACAGAAAATAAAAGAACTCTAAAAAATAGTCCACCGCTTTCTGCTAAACTATAGCCAAACCTGTCATACAGATGTCATCTCATATTACTGAGCTGAGGTGTAATTTTAGCAGAAAATTGAATTATTTTTTCCTTATTTTTCCTTATTTTAACAAGATTTGTTGCTATTTCAAAACTGTACCTACCGATACACACATTTTTTTGAAATATCCCCAAAAAACCTATTAATTGTAGTTTCTAAATAATTTTGTACCTCATACCTAACACAAATAACTTTGTACCTCTATAAATCGCGACGTGCGATCCAGTAGAACAATTAAATTTATTAGAATTCATCGCGACGTTCTATTGAAATGTATACTGGTAGACTGGATTTTAGCCGGCTAAGAATTTAACATTGATTTCCCTATTATGCGAAATTAAATTTCTAACAGTGTATGGTTTACACAGCAACAAGTAACAAAAACATTCCCGCCCAATTTCTCACCTTTCCACTTCTCCTCGGGCAAATTCATGTCTTCGATGCTCTGATCGTACGGCGCGGAAGTCGGCTCGTCGTTCGGGTCCGCGTACGACTTGAGGTACGCATGCGCCAGCGCCTGCTCCGCGGTTATCCTCTTCTCGCTGTCGAGTTCCAGCATGAGCCCGAGCAAATCTATCGCTAAGGGGTTCGCTCCGATTATGTACTGGTGCAAATCTTTCTTGGGTATGTGCGGCAGGGATCGGATGTAGTTTCGCGCCTGCAAAACAAATTGATAATAAACGCACTGGATAGTGTAATTCACCGAATGTAGGTTGGCAGTTGGAATATTTAGTAGTAGAATGCGCCGTAACAAATTTTAGTGAAAGGATAGGATATGAGAGCTCAAATTTCCATTAGGAAATTTGTCTGTTTGCGCATCTTACGCGATTTTCAACTGCCAAGTCACATCGGGCGATGTAGGTATAGTTGAAAACTTGTTGAGGATTGTATGAAAAGTTCTAGTGAACTTTTGGGCGGCGATGGTAAATTAGATGATGAAATATGTTAATACCTGCAAGCATAAAAGGGTATTTCAATCTAGGAGTATAGGACATTATTCTACTCTCCTCTCTTCAACTCTACTCTGTGTTAACTCTAGGTACTCTCTTCTACTCTACTCCCTTCTAATCTAGTTTACTCCCCTTCTCTTCTGCACTATTCTGAATCTACTCTACTCTGTATCAACTCTAGCTACTCTTTTCTACTTTACTCCCTTCTAATCTAGTTTACTCTCCTCTCTTTTACACAATTCTGAATCTACTCTACTCTATATCTACTCTAGGTACTCTCTTCTAATCTACTTTACTCTCCTTCTCTTCTACACTATTCTGAATCTACTCTAGCTACTCTTTTCTCCTCTACTCCCTTCTAATCTAGTTTACTCTCCTCTCTTTTACACAAATCTGAATCAACTCTACTCTGTATCAACTCTAGCTACTCTTTTCTACTCTACTCCCTTCTAATCTAGTTTACTCTCCTCTCTTTTACACAATTCTGAATCTACTCTAGGTACTCTCTTCTACTCTACTCCCTTCTAATCTAGTTTACTCTCCTTTTCTTTTACACTATTCTGAATCTACTTTAGCTACTCTTTCCTACTCTACTCCCTTCTAATCTAGTTTACTATCCTCTCTTCTACACTATTCTGTATCTACTCTACTCTGTATCAACTCTAGTTACTCTCTTCTACTCTACTTCCTTCTAATCTAGTTTACTCTCCTCTTTTTTACACTATTCTGAATCTACTCTACTCTGTATCAACTCTAGTTATTCTCTTCTACTCTACTTCCTTCTAATCTAGTTTACTCTCCTCTCTTCTACACTATTCTGAATCTACTCTACTCTGTATCAACTCTAGGTACTCTCTTTAACTTTAATCGCTTCTAATCTATTCTACTCTCGCCTGTTCTACCTTATTCTGAATCTAATCTTCTACTCTGCCTTATGAAGAAAGTTTTTTTTTCTTAAAATGGGTCCAAGACACACCCCTTTCAGTATTAGCATGTTATTAAAAAACACCCAATTTCCAATTTACCACCGCCGCATTTGTGATATATGCAGAATTTTCGTGCTTACGCTTTCAGAAGTAATTTTCTGTAGAAACTCTTCACTGGGTGTTCCCAAAAGCGCCATTATAAGATTTAATTGGTGAATATCTAATTAGATATTTAGAAAAGCATTATTTTTAAATAAGAGTAATAAAATTTACAGCTTGTTAAAAAGGATACGATCGGTGCCAGGAAACAGCGTCTTTCCCGTCAGTAATTCAGCCATTATACATCCCACAGACCAAATATCGACAGTTTGGTTGTAGTGCATCCAATTCAGCATTATTTCGGGCGCTCTGTACCATCTAGTTGCCACGTAGCCGGTCATTTCCGTTTCCGTCGGTCTAGCCAATCCGAAATCTAATATTTTCAACTCGCAGTCTTCATTTACGGCTATGTTCGAAGGTTTCAAATCCTGGAAGTGCGTCGAAATTGATCGAAAACATTTTAATAAATATCGATCGATTCGCTTACTCTGTGTATAACTCCCGCTGAATGAATGTACTTGAGCCCGCGGAGGATTTGATATACTAGGAATTGCACGTGATCATCTGTTAGCTTCTGGGTCCTGATTATGTTATTCAAATCAGCGCCCATTAAATGTGTAACTAAATATATCTAAAAACGAGTAATATTAGAATGTAAGTTAATTCCTACTTGGGTCAACAATGAATCAAATTTAAAGGTTTAAAACTTTGTTAGAAATCATAAAAATGGCTTTTATTAACGAATTAATATTTGAGAAAAATTTTATTAACATCGAGTGTCATCCTCTACAAGTTTAAAAAAATGTATTTTAACTCAAGGGAATGAATAATTATTAAAGAATCTTTATTAAAGATATAAAATTTGAACAAGATATACAGGGCGTCACGAAAAAAACCGACATAGAGCAGGGAAAATTAAGGGATGACTTGATTTTTTAGCAAAACTACAAGGATTTTAAAAAACAAAAAGAATAAAAGAAGAACTAATAAATTTTTAAATTCACCCATCAGGTAAAAACAACATTTTAAGGAAACATCATCCCTGATGAACTCTTTAAAATACAACAAATGATTCCTTCTAACTATCTATTAATGCTCTTAATACACTCTAATAATATCTACCAAATTTAATTCTTTTATGTTTGAGTAATACAGAGATATTATTTTAATTTGTAACTCCACTTTAAAAGCCTATAACCCCTGCTCTGTGTCGGTTCTTATGCGAGACACCCTGTATAAATAAATAGAGGGAGAGTGCGAAGTAATACGGAGCAATTTCCGAGTCGATAACTTCTGAATATCGCGGTGATTATTTTTCCTAGTGCAAGTGAAAATTGTCTATTTTACTTAGCTGTAGTCAAGGTCAAGATTATTGGAATGCTGGCCGGAATTAGTGCCAAATTTCGAAATAGTCGGGACTTAATTATTCTCGGGCAGCAATTATTTTTACGCCGGCTTTCCTCGTTTTCTGTTTTGCCATGAATCAGCCGAATGGAAACGTTCTGGATAGCCGACGTTCGAATCACACGATTTAATTTTGGCAATAACATCGATTATTTCGAGAACGTTATTCAAAAAATTTTGCAACACATTTAATATAAATGTAATGTTAATTAGTATAAAATTTTATATCCGTGTTTACTACACACCAATGAAATGCTCTACTTACATAGCATTATCTGTTTCTGTAAAAAGCTTTGTTGACATTTTAAAATTTACAACACCACGTTTAATCTCGCTTGAAATTATAAAAAAGTATCACATTACTCGGTTAGTTGGCACGAATTGTTTCAGCATTTCGGGAAAACTATGCCATATTGGATTATACAAACCTGACTATTATCGTGCTTGGGATAAAAAACATCTAACAATCCTATAACATTCTCGTGTCTCATATGCTTCAACAACTTTAGCTCCCTGTAAGTTCTTTTAGCATGTACAGCTGTTTGAAATGGACGGGCTAGTTTCTTTATTGCTACTTTTGTATTCGTTAATGTATCTTCTGCGGAACTGAAATGTACACACAAATACAGGGTGTCCCAATGAAAGGTAGCCCCTGTAATGAGCTTAGAATTTTATAACGCCTAGTCATAAAAACATGCTGGTTTCACAAATATGTTTTATTTCATTAGAAGTTTTGTTACAGTGATACAGAAATTATGCATTACCAATACAGGGTGTTTTATTAAAATCTCCTATTTAAAATTTACATTAACCATTTTTTTAAATGGAACACCCCGTATATACAGAGGTATTTTGAAAGATATACTCTTCTACTTTTCAAAATTGTATTATTTGTACATGTTATTCTACAAAAGAAGATGTCCTATTTCATAAAATTTGGTTAATGTGAATTTAAAAGAGGGGATTTTTATGAAACACCCTGTACAGGCGACACAAAATTTTTGTGTCACTGTAACAAAAAGTTAAAGCAAAATAATGTTTTTATAATTGGACGTTTAAAAAATATTAGCTCACTAAAGGGGCTACTCTTCATTGGGACACCCTGTATAGAGAGTTGAGTTTGCTATGTTTAATTCAAGTTATAAATGTGGTAAATCACTGCACAAGATTATTACATAAATTGCAGTATCATGTGAGAATGAATCTAAAAAATAAATACAAATAAGACAACAGTTTGGTTGAAATATTCTATACTACCCACTCAATTTACATTTCATTGAAGTTTATTACTGAATTGATGCCATACAAAATTATTTAGAAGCTTCGATTTGCTAACTAGCAAATTTGTAAAAGTGAGTAAATATTTTTCAAACTGTTTAATCATTTGGTAAAGATACTTTCCTTGATATTATATACCACTAAAAAATATGGCATATTTACGATTTCAACTTATTATAATCTGTAATTAGTTAAATAAACACCAGAAATTAACATGTAACCTCAAATATAAACGTTATTATATATCCATAAATTCAATAAAATAACGTAAATCAAAGTGAAAATATAATTAAGAAAAATCTAAAATACTCGTAAATGTGTATTGAATATAATTTTACCTACCAAACTTGTCCGTATGCACCTGAACCCACTGTTGAAAGCTTCTGATACCTAACAGGTACCTCCCAAACAGTTTTATTGACTTCGATTCGATGGAAATTGGACATTTTCTTATAAAAATCAAACTATTTTCAAAATTCTTAACAATTATCACAAATAACTTTTAACATTAACTTAACAAAATGATAAAAAAAGATACACAAATGTCACTGACAAGAGCCATATGTGTGGGTGAATAGAACGAGGACGGCAACATTTAAAATGACAGTAATGACTAATGACAGTGAAATCTTTTTTTATTCGATAGTTGTCTAACTGCAGTAAACTTCGCGGCGTTGCCGGATGAATTTTATTTTCAAATCTTTTAGGATATTTATAGTACATTTTACGGTAACCGTATTATTAGATCATAGGAGTGTGTGAGATCATTGGATGATCATTAGAACTCAATATTGTGAAATTTTCTAAAATGTCTTCATACATGTCACTTCCGATTATACCGGAATTATAGATGTCAACTTCGTTATTTGAAATGTCAAATCGTCGGCTTAATAATTTGCAAAACCCGTAAATCCCTATTTTGCCTATTTTATGTATTCTTATTAAATTACTCATTATTTTTTTAAACAGTTTTATTTGTCTCCTGTAAAATTATGCTTTTCTGGACTTACGGGTTTTGCCGACGAAATGTGAAGTGCCATTTTTGACTTTTTTGGATTCTATGACCCTTTTTAACTAATTTTTGATAATAGCATCATATCCCAAAAATACACTATTTACAAGGTACTTATTTTTTTCGAATTTTTTTGGAAAAACGGCCGAATGTATTTTCTATGATATCTCTGTTAAAAATGCACCTAGAAGTTTGAAATTTGGTATAATGTCCAGACACAGTACTAAATGAAACAACCGAGTTTTAACGGTCTATTTACAGGGTGTTTAAAATTTCTGATCAACTTATCTTAAGTGGCCATTCAAATAGATCACCCTGTATTTTCTGGCATTAAGCAGTCGGTATTTTTAAGCCCTTTTGTTACATATTGGTATTTCCTATACCTAAATCCAGTCGGTTTTGAAGTAATCGAGCTTGTTTGATAACATAGTTTTTATATGTATAAAGTAAGGAGAGTAGTTTTGAGGAAAGTTTTACGTTTGCTATATTATTTGGCACACATTCCAGGTAGATTTAACATGTATTAAATTATAATAACAATAAAAAACTAGATATAGCTTTCTATAATTTAAAAATTGTTTATTAAAATTAAAAAACTAACTAACTTACAACAAATTAATACTATTATTGCGGAATTGGAAGGCTGCATATTTGATTATGAGCCAAAATAGCCAGAAAACCGGCCGACGCGATTCCAACGCTGTCTCCGAACGTTGTTATACCCAAGGAAAATTGTTTATTTTCTTCTTCAACCTAAAAAAAATAGTCAAAAAACGTGAAAAATTCAGGAATTACCCGACCAACTCACTTCTGTCGAGATCCTATAAAACGTGTTTACATAAGACGATCCGCCCAGCAACCCTTCCCACAGAACTAACACAACTACTATGTAAAAATTAGGTATGTAATAATATATGGCTTCCGTTGTGAATATTACGACATTGATACCCTGAAAACGTTTTTAATTGAGTAAGTATTCCACTTTGCATACCCAAATTTTCTCACCTGAAACAAAGTCATCCACCAAGTTTGTTTGATGTGGAAAACGTTTACAGAGGACCTCGATAAGAACACGCCGACTTGATACGTTACTTGGAACCATCTGTACTGGTCCGACATGCTTAACGTTGAATTCTTGAACTGAATCAATTCGAACTGGAACGATAAAAATTCTGCTGAACGCTGCTACAAGTTTGAACTCGAACTTACCAGGCCTTGGTTGATGAAGTATTCAAAAAGGTACACTAGAAAAAATGGCAAAATGTATTTCATAAGACCGGGTATCAGCTTCAACTTCTTCTTAAAAGCCTCTTTGGGATTCTTCAATTCCTGTACATTCACTACTCTCTGTATTTGCAAAACGTGCGCAATGTCTTCTTCGGAAGGACTCGGGAGCAGCACCCAAAACCTTCAAAAATATCTGTTAGAAACCTACCAACGCACGCAAAATTTACCACTTACGACAAACCCATAATCACAGGCACTACCAGCAGGATCTGCAAGGTCGTTCTCAACCCTAACTGCTGCAGAACCGTGTAGGACAGGGCCCCTATCACCCCAGCGCCTCCTGTGCCCGAGCTCCACGTTGACACCACATTTCTGGCAAACATTCCAAGACATTAGCGAATTTTACGAACCTCGAACGACGCAAACTCACTTATCGTAGAAACTGCTGTATTGCATGTACGTAACCTCTCCCAGGCCCGAACAAAGGGATGTAATAACGACGCCCAGCAAGGATATTATCAGGCTTTCGCTGTAAGCCACGCACAAGAATCCTGCGGCCGTTAATATCGCACACAGCGCCACTCTAGTGCTGAAAAATAAGAAAGAGCTGAGCCTGGAGGTCGTCGCGGGAGTTTGGATGGTGGATGTTCATTGTAAGGGCGTGAGAAGGTATTCAAAATGGCGCTGTATCTGCCAGAGCCGGGCGAAAGTGTTCCATCTGCATGGATAAGACTCGAGGAAAGCATTCTGTTTCGTCTGGTTGTGAAGCGAAGAGAACACTTTGGCTCGCTCTGTTTGAATAAAATGTATGCTAATGAGGAGAATAGGTTAGATACCTGCATATAGTCTAGGCACTTTTTGAACGTTTTCTTCAAAAAAAGGCCCGTAGCAGTTTATCTAAAATAGCAATGAGATAATAAAATGAAATATTTACACATTTATATACATTTTTATGCACATATAAAGTGTTACAGAGCAATAACAGTCTATTGATCATATGCAAAACAATTTCAGACAAATGTTGAAGTGTTCAAGAAGGAACCTTCTTTTTTAATCGTTGGAGGCGCTGAAGCTACGTCAAGGTCAACCAAACTTTTTTAAAAAGGGAACCAGAATGTTTAAAGAATGACCTTGTGTTGCAGGTCGCTGAATTTCTCATAAAATCGGCAATAATGTCATCAAAAAGAAACTACATGTTTCTCTTTAAAATAGTGGAGCTGACCTTGAGATGGCCCAGTATGATGGCCTTCTCAAACAATTCAACATTTGTCTAAAACTTTTTTGCATATAACTTGTAACTTTTTTGCTCTGTAACACTTTATGTGCCTCACCCTATATATATCAAAGTATAATTTCTTTCGAATTTGTCGCGCATTCAATGCACTTTTACTAAAAGCAAAGTCCTACTGGTAAACGATCGGTAGAAAAAACTTACTGTACAAAAAATGGCAAAAACGGGGCGAGTATTTTAACAAACAATCCTGGAAGGACGTCTGCTAATAAAATTGCACCAGTAGATAAATAAGTGCAGTTTCTCGCTGTGACATCCTACAAAACGAACAAAAAATTATTCTAAATCCGATGCAAATACGAGCGAAATTCACCTTATTTTCACTGGACTCTGTGCCCGTTTGTTTTTCTATTATATCATTAGCGGCTGTCAACATTACAACGTATCCATAGTTGTTGCAAAGCCCCAGAATCCAATAAGCTATCAGAGATCTGAGGCGTTTTTTTCTGTTCAAGACGTGCCGTTTCACTGGAGTTGCTTCTGGCGGCATCATGGCTACGCAACTCTCATAGTTCGTGGACATTTTGAATTTGCAATACCTTAAAACCTTCTGGCTCGTGAGAAGTACCTACAAGTAATAAAAAATAATTTACTGGTTTTGTTGTGCAACGAATCTGTTAGTTTTAGTGGAATTGTTTTGTTATCTGTGTTTCAATTGAATTTTACTAAACTCACACGTGTGTAATTAAATAAATAGTGCTGTTCAAATAATTTTGTTTGGTGCTTTAGTGGAAATAAAGCGGTTAAAACTTGCCAATAAGCTGTATTTTAAGATGGTTTTTTAGATGGACACTTTAATTAAAACCTCTATTAATGTCCTGTCACTTTTGTACTCTATATTACTCTTCCCAATTTATTTAACACGTGAATTGACTAGTAGGTAATTACAATACGATCGCAGGTTTCAAATATTTTTTTGCATAATTAATACCAAATGAACCCGTAGGTACATTGCGCAAGTCGACGCTAATTCTTATTTTTTTTAATTTATTATCGCTACCATTGAATTATAAATAAAAATAGTAGTAGATGTAAAATAAGGTAATATTCCTACAGTGGTATCAACAAAACAACAGTAGAATTTTTTAATTTATTAATGTATTTGCTAATCGATTCTGCTATTGTTGTTTCTAAATAACTAGGATCTTTTACTGGAATTTGAGCTTTATTTTATTATTAATTAGTACGTAGAATTAATTAAATTGAAACGAAAATCACTAGCTGTCAAAGTAAAAAAATCACATTTTAGTCTTCTATATTCTATATAAGTTTTAGTGGAATTATTTTGTTATCTGTGTTTCAATTGAATTTTACTAAACTCACACGTGTGTAATTAAATAAATAGTGCCGTTCAAATAATTTTGTTTGGTGCTTTAGTCGAAATAAAGCGGTTAAAACTTGCCAATAAGCTGTATTGTAAGATGGTATTTTAGATGGATACTTTAATTAAAACCTCTATTAATGTCTTGTCACTTTACTCTATAGTTAGTTAAATATATTAACAACTTAAAATGAATTAACTAATTAAAATTCTAGAAGATCTATTCAACTGTTATTAATGATGGTAAATATGTGTACGATATGTCTGCTTCAATTTATTTTGTAATTGAAAAATAAAAATCAATTACAGTTTAGATTGTCTAATTTCGGGTGCCTGTTAGTTTGTCCGTTTATTTAATTGAAATTTATTATTCAATAAACATGAAAATATATCGCGACATTCATCTCAAAACCTTTTATCACATTTATCATTATCAAGCATTCGAAATGAAAAGTTTATCTACTAATCTGTCATTTTAGACACATTGATAAAAGCTTCAAATAAGATAAGCAGATATAATTTTTGAATAGTTCAATAACCGTTTAACAAAATTGGTTTTTAACATCGACATTTAATCGAATATATCGACGAATCGATTGAATACTATCAGCATTAAGAAAATGATTTACAACCTTACGAAATTTTCTCATCGGCATTTCTTGATAACTTGAAGCTTGTAGAAAATAATTCACTAAAGTCTCTCTGAATTCGAAGTGCTAATTTCAAACTGAAAATATGTTGGTAAACGCACAGCCTTGAGAAAAGTAGCGTATTATGTACGCTTATTTACCAATAGGTATCTGATAAGATTAATGCATATACATACCTAACTTTTATTTTATTTTTTTAAAGAACTTTGTGTAAAAACAATATTTTTTTGAATCAAATCCGCTATTATTTTATGATGTGGATGAAACTACACATAATTAGCACACTAATAAAGTACAACTTAAAAGTAGTAAAATTAAAAGTGTCTTATTAGATATTTTTTGCTCATGTTCTTATTTGTATCGAATTAACAGTTTTCATGTAATTAAACGTCATACGTACACTATCCTTAAAACCTATTGCGTATATTCTGTACGTATAGTAATAAAAATATATATCAATCATTATCAAAATAACTAATTAAATATTTATTTGTACATTCCAGCAGATTTTCCAGTGCTTAAGAAAAAAAAATCCAGTCATTTCTAAATATACTTTCAAGATAAATTTCTGCATACAATGGTATCTGTATTAAAGTAAATCGATCAGTTTTGAAACACTTTTTAAAGATAGTATATTTCGTGATTTTCCCGATGAAAGTAAATTACCTTTCATCATCGAATACTAAATAACTAGGAAGCATTTACATTAAAAAAGTAATTACACAAAAGTTTCACCCTTAAAATATGGTACTAAAATCGGATTTTGTAATATTTTAAAATCAATAAACAAGTAGCAAGAAAAGTGCTATTTATGTATCTACAATTAAGCTAATTTTATATGTAAAAATATATTGTGTAAAAATGTTACATTTCTCTGTCAACTCAATTGTATTGATAACATTAATTACTACAAACCTACTAAACTGTACCGAATTTTCAACACTTTTCTTACGATTTCATCGCAAAAATCAAATTCAAATTGGACTATTTTCAAGTAACTAATGTTTCAGTATTACTTTGGAAGAGAAGATAAGCCGGTGAAGGGTAATGAATAAAAATTGCCAATTTATTTAACACGTGAATCGACTAGTAGGTAATTACAATAAGATCGCAGGTTTCAAATATTTTTTTGCATAATTAATACCAAATGAACCCGTAGGTACATTGCGCAAGTCGACGCTAATTCGTATTTTTTTTAATTTATTATCACTACCATTGAATTATAAATAAAAATAGTAGTAGATGTAAAATAAGGTAATATTCCTACAGTGGTATCAACAAAACAACAGTAGAATTTTTTAATTTATTAATGTATTTGCTAATCGATTATGCTATTGTTGTTTCTAAATAACTAGGATCTTTTACTGGAATTTGAGCTTTATTTTATTATTATTTAGTACGTAGAATTAATTAAATTGAAACGAAAATCACTTGCTGTGAAAGTAAAAAAATTACATTTTAGTCTTCTATATAATTTTTGGTTTAATTTGAACTTGAACTTTGGATAATTACTGTCACTATATAATTACTGCCTATTTGAATAATTATTACAGATAGTAAATAAATAAAACGTACGTACCCATACTTTTACAAAAATACCACATACATACAGTTATTATTATTAGACATAACACTTACCGTAAGTTTTTAAGTTCTCCATGTTCGCAAAATTTGATAGAAAATACAGCAAAAAAAAAGTGTAGGATAGAAACTAATAGAAATCGAAAATTAAATATCGTATAAGTAACAGCTGTAATGAGAATACAAACTACTACAGATATTGAAGCAAACTGCTATATAAGTACGCATTGATAACAATAATGATACCTGAGGTAGGTATAGACAGTAAGCACGTTTTACAACCTAATTAATGCATAATTCCATAATAGAATGAATATCATCCATTTAATTGAAGGCTTGAGAATTCACTTTACATTATGTTTACAGCCGATTTATGTATGAATTATTCAATATTGCACAACTAAAATTACTCCATATAGACGTTGTTCATGTTGTTATTCAAATGTGAAAAATTTGAACATTATAATGCCTGTCAATAAGCTTTTAATTGTAAGTAAAAAACTTTAAAATATCGAAGGACGGTTCTAGAAAAGACTGGTTTTTCAAAATAAACGAAACAAAATTAATATTTAATAAAAAAGTTTCATACCTACATTATAGGCAGAGAAACCAGAACATTTACAACAGGTAATTTAAGAGTTATTGGTTGTTGATAAGAGGTAACACAACACTTTTCATTCAAAATATTACACTCGGTGCGACATTTTAAACTTCAATTTGAATTGATGGAAAGTTTTCGAAATAACTGGACGTTTAATTACTGCTGCAATTCAGCATCATCAACGTCATTTTAATGTAGATAAAGTGCGCTTATGTTGTATTTTTAACTTTTTGATTCGATCCTAACCTACAGAAATTTTATTCTTGGCATTGAAATCATACCCACGCGTTTTGAATCCATAAATAACCGAATCTGTATACTAAATATTCTTGTTTATACTACTAAAAATACACGAAATTTTAACTTTCATTTTTATAAAAAATATCCAATAAAACTATTCGCACTATCGAGAAGTGTGAATGAAAACTTACACAACGAAATATACACTTCCTAGTTTAATAAATTCGATACATTTTGTTATCGAATGAAATACAGGAAGTGAACGTAGTGCTATCAAGAAATTATAGTATACAGGGTGTTCCATAATGACATGCTAATATTTAAGGGGTTAAGGGGATGATTCTTGGACCTGTTTAAAAAAAAACTTCATATGAACAAATGTCCTAAACTATTTCAAAAAATTGATTTTTTTCTTAAAACTTTAACACTTCTCCCTAAAATAGGCCCAAGAATCACCTCCTTAAATAATAGCATGTCGTTTTGGAACACCTTGTATAAAGGTCGATGAATCTGTAGTACTTAAGGTTTTTTTGTTAGAAATACTGTTTCTACAAACATAGTATTTGCCATTGTATTATCCATGTAGACATAACATATTTGGTATTGTAAATGTTTACGGCAGCGCAATTTTTCTTATTATTTGTAAAGATTACAAAGAATAGTAGTATAGTCCTTTTCAAGATATAGTAGAAAAGAGGCGTGAGAGCTTAGGGATTATAGCAATAAAGTAATGACTTTCCTAATACCGATACAATGGAACGTTGAAGCACTTCGGTCGGGTCGGGTGGTAAACAGTATTTACATTTCCAGGTAAGAACTTAAGAAATGTTATTTAATGAGTATTTTGCATCGCCGCTTAGC